TGGCGGTGCTGGTCGGCCCGCGCCGCCAGTGCGCCCGCAACGAGGCAGGCCAGACCGGCGGGAACGGCCGCCGCCAGGGCGATACGAGAGAGCGTCAGGCGTGGGTTCATGGGGACAAGGTGCTCAGTGAACAGAGGGGCGCATCAGGCGGAGGCCGTGATTTCCTGGCGCAGGCTCAGCTGCGCGGCCGACCGGGTCCAGCCGCGCGCCGATCCGGTGAGCTGCGTCTGCTGTGCGGCCGGCACGCCCGCAACGACCAGCTGGATCACCGCCACGCGGCCCTGCGCGGCGTCCTCCAGCGTCAGGCGGGCGGACAGATCGGCTTGCGGGCAGGCTTCCAGGTCGCGGATCGCCTGCGTCAGGGCCACGCAAAGGTGAGCCAGCGTCGCGGGAGAAACCTCGGGCAGTTGGGCATCCAGGTGCAGTGCATCGCTCGTGCGGCCGTGAATCCATCGGCTCATGCGCCAATAGCTGGACACGGCCTCGAGCAGGGGTTCCAGGCGAGGGCGACGGCGCAGTTCGTCGGAGGCGCGGAGATAGTCCGCCAGGTCTGCCACGCCGTCCTGGGCGCGCTCATCGCTGCCCAGCGCCAGCACGACCCGGTTGAGCGCATTCAGCACCAGGTGGAGTTCCAGCGTGGACGAGGGGGGGGTGTCGACCGGCGCCGCCGCCTGGGATCTCTTCCACAGCAGCGCAGCGGCCGCGCCGGCGGCGAACCCGAGAATGCCCACGAGCAGGCAGGCGAGCGTGTTGATCATGCGTGAAGCTCCGCGGTTGGCGCCGGCGAGATGGCCGGCGAGGATTCGTGTCGGGCCAGCCCGCCGCTGGGGAGGCTGGCATCGGCGGCAGGTGCCGGCGTGGCGGGAAGCGGCTGGGGACTGCGCAGCAGCGCGATGCGTTCGAGCAACCGCCGCACCGAGATCGGCTTGTAGGCCAGGGCCACGCCGAGTTCGGTGGCGAGCGCATTGACCTCGTCGCGGATGTCGCCGGTCAGCATGAGCACGGGCACATCGCGCCATTCGGGCCGGCGACGCAGGGCGCGCAGTGCCTCGGTGGCGTCTCCGTGGTCGCCGAGGTGCAGGTCGGAAATGAGCACGCCCGGCACGCCGCCCGCGCTGCCGGCAGCCGGCGTCATCAGTTCGGCAAAGCTCGAGTAGGCTTGCACGTCCAGACCGGCATCGACCAGCGCGTTCATCAGCGTGATGCGACTGAAGGCGTCGTCCTCGACCAGCGCGACCGAGCGGCCC